GAAGCTGGGTAATAGCCAAATAATAACATATAAGGAAGTATTTAGAATAACCTTTTGAGGAAAGCTACCCATTGTCAACAGCAGGGAATCTGAACAGTACCTATTTTGGCCCTTTGCATCTCTGAAAAAGATTACTAGTCTTATCTGGCTGTAGATAAATTACCTGTATAATAAATGTGGATTAAACAAAATGCTACCCACGATTCTAGGCAAAAAACTAAGCTGAAAAATTAACACTGAAATTCTCTCAGGAATTAAGCTAGTAAAAGATTAGTACAAGAGATAAAACAAACATTTTCTTACCATCTATAATTTTGGGAATTTCTTTAGTAATAATCCATTCTCCAGGTTGTAGCAAAGATTGTCCATAATACATATCAGACTCTGCACTTGTGCTTGAAAATGCAGAGCTACTGGAAGGGGTCAACTCTTCAAGTTTGAAGAAATCTAGGCCAGCTACTGTGCCACCAAAGAATCTGCAGCCACCGAGACAACCACATTTATTTCTACATCTCTTATTCTTCAGGGTATCATCTGGCCACAAAAACCACAACCTAAACAGAACCCAAAACAAACCAAAAAATAAGCAAAAAATTAAAGTTTTAATTACATTGTAGTGTATCATTTTAATAATTTTACTTCTTATTAAAAATAATCTTGCCACAGCAAAATACTAGTTTTCTTTGAATTCTCTGTGCATAAATATTACAGTTTTAATCAGATCAAAAACTATCACATAATAATTCTTGAGGAAGGTACAAAAGATCAATTTGTAGTTTAGAAAAGAGATCAAAGCATTAAAATTCCAAGTACTGTTACTACAGTTAAGAGTCAAAGCACTCCTCTGGCTCTACACATCAGAAGCATTGTGAAAAAAACAGAACAGTCAGCACCTGCTTGAGGTTAGGAAGATGGAAATTGATGATCGTTTATTTCTGGTAATTTTTGTGCATGTTTATTTTCAAAAAATGGTGCAATACAGAGCAGAAAAGTGAAGTTAAAGACACAAGGAAAAAGAAACTGAATTGTATTATTAGACAATCTGGCAGTGCAGTAATATATGTACTAGAATTAAAATTTGGATGAAGATGACAAAAATGTGGTTTGTTGACTGGGTGTGGTGATACACACCTGCAATCCCAGCACTTCAAAGGCTGAGGCAGGAGGTTTGGGAGTTCAAAGCCAGCTTGAGAGACACTTTCTCAAACAAATAAACAACGAAATTTTTCTTTTTAGTGCTGAGTACTAAACCCAGACCAGCATGCTTGAACAAAATCTTTTTAATGAAATAATTCACTCTACTACTTCTTTCCTGATGGACACCAACAATCCCATCTACCTCCTCAGTTCCTTTTCTGTGTGTGAATGCACTGGGATGTTTTCCTCCAAGTCAGAAGTTAAA